ACACTTAACCTTGGTCTGCCTCAGTTCTCTTATCTGTAAAATGGTAATGATGATAGCACCTCATTTGTGAAATGGAGATAAGAATAGCAGGGATAAATATAAATAACATGATAATAGTAAGGCTAAAATGAGATAATATTTATAAAGCAATTTGCAAAACAAAGTACTATTCAAGTACTGTGTAGAATGCCCCAAAAGTCTCAGTCATTAGAAGTCTAAGCTATTAGAGTTTAAAGATTTTTGAGACACTCTGTATAACTGCTAGATGTTGTTGTTGTTATTGTTGCTGATATTATCATCATTATTTCACTCCAGAGAAAAATTTAAAATAACGCAAAGTACTCCCAGGAGCACTTAACAAGCAAGATACCCTCTACTATGGTGAGTCTCATAGCAACATCTATTTAGGGCATGAAGGGACCATCTAATCCATCCCCCTCATTTTATAAATGGGAACGCTGAGGCCCGTAAGTCAAGTGACTTGCCCACGTCCACACAACTACTGAGTGGCGGTACTGGGATTTGAACTCAAGTCTTTCGACTCTGATTCCAACATTCTTTCAATTAATTACACCTGTAATTACTTCTGTCTCTTGTCTCTCTGTAATTCATCACTCTCACTACACAATTAACCAACCCCCTTTTCTGGTCACATATATCTCTGATGGTATTTAAACATCTTTTTTCCACATACAAGTCCTCATAGATAATACATCTAGGTATACCCACCATGAGTCTTTTCATTATGCTTAGATCACTTGAAAAGAATATTGTTATAAGACCATAGTTTTCAATGACATTTCCCCCACCCCAGCCCATATGCCTATTTAAAGTTTGAAAATATAGATAGAGACTACCCTGATGATGGTATTGATACAGGGAATTTCTAAATGAGGAAAGCCTTCTATCAAGACAGGCTGGCCCCTTTTCTGGACCTTGTAATCAGAAAAAGTTGTGTAGTAAAGACATACATTTATAAAACCCAGAGGATAAAGGTTGTACTTTTTGTTCACACTCTTTTTTCTTTAGAGGCAAAATAAAATAAAATCTAGGGGTTTTTTTTGTAACTTGACTTCTTTTTCTTATGCTTTCTTAGATTCATTTATTAAGACAGTCTTTCTTTACCTATTTCTCAGAGATGATCATGACCATCCAAGGTGTACAAGTTAAGCTTCACTGCTTTTTATTAGGCCCTGGACCATTCAGAATGAAAAGGCTTTCATTCTCTCTTCTCTAGCTCCAGGTCCCTTTTCAACTGGACCCAATTAGCCTTTGTTATTGGTTTCTCTGTGTTTAAAAGCCTTCCAAGGCAGGCACCTAGAAATCAGGTGCCATTTCTGAGATGAGCTTGTCATGCTAGACCCAGCCATGGCCACAGAGAACAAGGCTAGAATTGTTCACTTGAAAGCCATACTGAAAACAGAAGATGGCTATTGTGGCTCAGGGGATGAACTCTTTCTGCTATCTGATCATCCATCCATTTAGGTATTCATTTTCTACTGACGCAATTAGAAAGCAAAAAGATCTCTCCCCCTACTACAGAAAGAACTTAAGCCACTTATGCTATAATAACCAGGAGTAATTCACAGCAGATATTAGATTACAGACTTGAGTGCTTTCAATTTCTGACATGTGCACCCTACACTCAAAAATCATCATCTGGGACCCATATGGTATGAAGTAAATAGAGGTGAACCCAATAGTACAGGTAATAATATTGGTATGACCTGCATCTAGTGGGCTGTTTCAGTGCCAAAAAATCCCAGCACCCACCTCCAGAGATTCTTTGCCCTAGCTCATCTATTCCAAAGTCACACATGGGGGTTTAGAATCAGGACCAAGCATCTGCAATGAATGTTACTTTAAGCACCTTACCATGATTTATGTATATACTCTATATACAGTTATCTCCTGACATGCTGTTGTGTGGTCAGCCTTCCTGTATTCTACAGTTAGCTTAAGAAAATCTATAAAGTACTAAATCCATATCAAGAGCCCACTGAAATTCATAACCCAATGCTTTCCATGCTCTAGCAAAATATCCCTCTTCATTTTGTTTCCTTCATTTCAAACACTCTCTTCTAAGGAATTCAATAGAAAAAAAAAAGTGAAGTGAGTACTATTGTGTCAGGTGCTAAGAGTTGATACATAGATAAATAAGAAAGGATTCCTGTCCTCCTGGAAGTTGCAGTTCAGTAGAGAAGATGAGGCAATTTCAGAAATACCATAATCCAAAATAGACTATGATAATTGCATAGAAGAGGTATAAATCTCAGTAACTTTCTGTTTATTACTTGAAATCTAGCACATGCAAACATAAGAGATGCTTCATTCATTCATAAAATATTCATTGAGGTATAAAACACTATAAGATAATAAGAAAACCAAAGATTAATTTAATACCATTCTTACCTTCAATAAACTTACTGTCTAGCAAGCAATTAGGTTTCAACGTCTATCTCTAATCCTCCCTATGAAACTATCCATCTCTACTCAGACCTGGCTGTATCTGTAACTCTGGTGGGAAAATAATTCCAAAATGAGTCTAATGTTAAAGTTCATCAGTTAGATCACCAGAGGTTAGATTTAGTTATAGATATGGAAGAGAATTTAGAGATTAACTAGAGACAGGACCAGAGAATAGAGAGACATGAGGGGCACCAAAACTCACAGAATCAAATCCAATTCTGTCATTTTATAGATGGAGGAGTTAAATGTTATAAATGGGGAAACTGAGGCTCATAAGTCAAGTGACTTGCCCAAGTCCACACAGCTATTGAGTGGCAGTACTGGGATTTGAACTCAAATCCTTCAACTCTGATTCCAACATTCTTTCAATTAATTACACCTGTAATTACTCCTTTCTCTTGTCTCTCTAAAATTCATCACTCTCACTACACAACAGAAATTGAGTGGCCTCCCCAAAGTTACATTGGCAGTACAAGTAGCAGAGCCTGGGTTTGAAAAGAGATCACTGGACTCCAAATCCAATACTTGCTCCACTCTATATAATGGGATTGACTACAGATGCCATCCTTGGGTGGCCACTCCGCTCATTTTACAGATGAACAGCCTGAAACCCAGAGAGGGTAACAACCCTTCCAGACTCACACAGCTGTTATGTGATGGTGCCTGGACTCAGACTCAGATCTTCTGACTCCAAGCCCAGTGCTTTGCACACAGTATCTCACAAACTACCTCTAATGTTACTATATAAGGCAGTTAGGTGGCTCAGTGGATGTGGAATCAGAAAGATCTAAGTTCAAATTCTATTTTAGATACTTAATAGCTGTGTGACCCTAGGCAAGTCACTTAACATCATCTGCCTCAATTTCCTCATCTGTAAAATAAAGATGATAATATCATCTACCTCCCAGGATTGTTGTTAGGATCAAATGATATGGTATTTTGTAAAGTGCTTTACAAATCATGAAGTGCTATATAAATGCTAGCTATTAGCTACGTGGAGGCACAAAGCAATGCAAGACTGCAGATTTCTGACAGTGATTTGGCCATGTAGAACAATCCTTCCATACAAATCTTGTCATGAGGTACATTTCAGAAAAACCCCACTGCCAGTCATATAGAAAATAGCTAAGGGCCTTATTTCCAACTGGCCAATGCCTTAATCTGGCATGGTTCTTCCATCTATAGCCATGGGGGAAGTTTTGGTCCTTGAGATTTTTATCGCCTACTTTACAGTCATAACCTTCCACTCTGTAATCAATTTTACTCTTCAGAAATCAGATACATGCACCCTTCAGAAGGAGAGATTGGAGGTTGTGGGTTGTGTACTTACATTTCAGAACCAATCCAATCCAAAGAGTGAGTAAAAAAAACACGAACTGATAATAATAATAATAAGTATTTAGTTATCACTTTAAGGTTTATAGAAAACTTTATGTTATCTCAGCTGACACTCATAACAACCAAGAAAAAACTGGAGTTGCAGATTATATAGCATCTGAATGTCTTTGGCCTGAATTGTTCCATCTAAGAATTAATTATCTATCTTAAGAAAACATGACTGAATAGTGGGTAGACAGTAGGTATCCTAATATTTAGTAACTGGTAATAAATGCCGCCAACATACTGGTACCCATCATGTATTTTGAGACAGCTGATAAGGACCTTTCCTATCTCAGGAGATATCTCAGTTGTCCCACTTCTTACTTTGGTTGCTATTTGATCCTACCTCAGCCTACAAAGATCCTGGTTGTGTAATAAGGCCTGTCTTTAATGTACCCCATTATCATACAAGGGTAGTTCCCTCCTCATCCCCAAAATTATTTTGCATTTACTTTGTGTGTGTGTGTGTGTGTGTGTGTGTGTGTGTGTGTGTGTATATATATATATATATATATATGTGTGTATATATATATATATATTTGTATTCACTTATCTATGTACATGTTCTTTCCTCTTAACTCCCCACCACTATTAGAATGTAAGCTCCTTGAGGGCAGAGAATAATTTCTTTATTTTTATCTTTGTATCTCCAGTGTCTACCTACCTGCCTATCACAGCATACAGTAGGTGCATAATAAATCATTGTTATTAAATTCCATCAAAATTACCAGAAAAAATTGATAAGGTGGAGAAATAGTTCCAATGGTAGCCATTTGTATTTTCTGAGAGGAAGAAGTACATGGTGTTTACAGAGAGAGATGCTCTTTGAAAGGTGCAAAAATGTCCCTGCAACAAACACACAGCTAAAGTATTTGGGGCTCTGACTTCAAAAGCAATTGTCTCTCACATTACATATCTTTGTATAATATGTCTGTTTGAAATTCCTCAAAGGACTTGACATATTATATCTACTAATGCCCCGAAAAGGGTACCCCTCTCTAGCTTCAGAATTCTTCACAAAGCACATTTCTCCCTTCTCCTGGGGATATGTGAGGGGATCTTAGAATACAAGGTGCATAACAGGGATGGACGTGCAATGTTAAGAGCTTTCACTGAAGGAGGAAAATTGTTCACTTTTGCTTATTTTGTAGCCAAAAGCTGGGTCTCTTGGATCGGGTTCGACTTTCTAATCCTCGTGGTACCAATACTAAAGGAAAGCTATTTACCCCTCTGAATGTAGATGCCATAGAAGAAAGCCCTTCTAAAGAGCCAAAAAATGTTGGCTTGAACAATAAGGAACGTTTTCGGACTGCATTCCGAATGAAAGCATATGCCTTTTGGCAGAGCTCTGAAGGTAACCCAGCTTCCCTTCCTTCCTCCAACTTCTTTTCACTTTTCCTCCACTCCTTCCGAGGTTACTTCCCTTTCCAGCTCCATTGAAGTATCTTTGAAGTTGCCCAGCATCTTCAAAATAGCTCATTCCCTCTGATCCTAACTCCAACACTCTACCCCAATTTTTTTTGCATTCTCACTAAGCATTTGGGGGTAGGAGAAATCCCTCCCCCCAAAAAAATTAAGAACGAAGTTTTTAGGAAATATCCCAGTCAGGCAGATGCATTTAATAATAATAATTACCATTTGTCAAGTGCTATATAAAGTTTTCAACAAGCTTTCCCTATATTATCTTATTTGAGACTCTTCTTGGGTATGTAACTTTTATACTCCTTTTACAGAGGAAAAAAATGAGACTCAAAGATGTCCAGTGACTTGTTCAAGATCACATAGTAAAGTAAATGGCAAAGGCAGTATTTGAACCAAAATCTTCCTGATTCCAAGTCTACTACTTTATGTCCTAAGAAGGCTACAGTGCCTCCATTTTTCAGGAGCCTCCAGCATCAGGGGACAGTGAATATGGAAAGGCAGCATGATGTCATGGACAGAGGGTTGACTTGGAGTCAAGAAAAGATGCTAATCAAATCCTGACTCTTACACTTCTTTTCTCTGTGACCCTAGGGAAGTGACTAACCTCTCTGAGCCTCACCTCAATTTCTTTGAAAGAGTACCTGCCTCACAGGTTCTTATGAGGCTCAAATGAAATAATGTTCAAAAAGTTATTTGCAAGCTTTCAAGTGCTATGGATATGTCTATTGTTATTTTTATTGTCATTATTATGCAGTATATCACTTACCCCCTTATAATATGATCACTGTCACTAACTGGCCTCCTCCACATAAATGTTTTGCATAGCAAAACATACATGGCAAGTTGTTAGGACTCACAACTATTATTTCATTATTATTTCTCCTCAGGGTCTCAAAAAAGAGGCATGACTAATAGGGTGGAGGTTGGGAGAGAGAAGGAAGTCTGTGTCCAGAATTCCATATGCCCAGTGGCAACATTCTGCCAGAACTGAATTTTCACTTAAGCTGGAAAAGGAGTCTTAAAGTCAGTAAACCATCCCATGAGAAGGCTAGGATAGATCCACATTAATAAGAATGTCTGAAGAGAGAATATAAGATGACATTTTTTTTTCCTTTCCTCACTGAGGATTTAGAGAATATGTTATAGGACCATAGATTTAGAGCAGGATGTGTCCTTATCAAGTCCAATCCCCTTATTTACAGATGAGGAGACTGAGGCTCAGAGAAGTTAAGAGACACACAGCTAGTGAAGCAGAATTTAAACCCAGGTCTTATCCATGACACCAGACTGTCTCAACAGGCATTGACTCAGTAACTCAATGAATGAATATTTATCAGCTGCCTTCTATGAACATAGCACTGTGCTCGTCACATTATGGTGTCGGAAAGTGAACGAGATGTGATCAGTACCCTTAGGAATTCACAGTCTAGTAGTGAGAACAGAAATACACACACACACACACACACACACACACATACACACACACATGCATACACATACAGGAATATACATATAAATTCAAACATATGTATACATATACAGGTATGTGCACATAAATTTATGTGTATATATGTATATATATACACGTGTGTATACACATGTACATATATACATATATGGATACACACATATACAGTTCTATTCAAACATATACACCTATATGTATATATGAGTACATACACAAATAATAGATTTCTTACTCTACTATCTGGAGAATTTGTGATTTCAGTGATGTCTTTAACCACTAACACAAATCACAATCCTTCTACTCTTCAATAAAAAGTCTTTGTGATTATTTGTGGCTAATAATAATAATAATAATAATAATAACAATCACTGACGGTAAGTCCCCAGGGATGAGCCTCTCCAAACTTAGCTAACCTGGGATGACAAACACATAGAACTCAAACCATTTTCAACTTAAATACCCCATCTGAGAGTGAGCTTCACTGGCATAACTTCAAATGACTGGTTCTCCTCCATGCCATGCCAAGGCATTTAAACAGAATGTTAGACATTTTAAACATGTATTAAACACCTTCTGTGTACATAGCACAGCCCTGGGTGCTTGGGGAGGGGGAGAGACATACAGAACTTGAGGTAGTATGTGGTAGTAGGCTAGATTTGGATTCAGAGGACCCAGGTTTGAATCCTAGCTTTGCCTCTTACTTCCTGTATGGCCTTGGGTAATGGTAATTAATTCACTTAATGTCTCTTGACCTCCATCTGCAAAATGAGGGGACTTGGACTAGGCAGTCATTGATGTCTTTTCTAGTTCAAGTATTCTTATCCCCATTTTACAGGTGAAGAACTTGAGGCAGAGACAAATTAAATTAGATGCCTAAAGTCTTGTAGTTAGTAAATGGTGAAGGCAGTACTTAAGCCCAAATTTTCCAAATAGAAATCCCATATGCCACACAATTCTGAAAAAAATTCTTTTTAAAAATAATCATAGAGCTAAAAGGCCATAGAGGCCAAACTCCTCATTTTACTAATAAGGAAACTGAGTCACAAAGCTTTTAAATAATTTCCCCAGTGTCCACAGTTAGTATTTGAGGCAGGATTTGAACTCCAGTCTTTATGACTCCGTGCCTAGAATACCATACTGCCTCTCCAAAATGCTAATTTGATGAGATCTCTAAGCCTCACAGGGTTCTATGACCTGGTTTTTAGGTTTTTGTATCCTATTTCTTAGATGCCGGGACAGGAGAACCCATGACTGAAGAACGGGGCTACAGTAATGAATTCCTCATAGAAGATATGATCCCCACACTCAAGTCGGTCATCAGAGCAGTCAGGTATTGCTTTTATTGCTTGTCTGTTTTACTTCTGTGGAGCCAAATTGAAACAACAAGAAATTATTTCTGTTCCAAAGTGAATTCTCCCTTGGGTGGCCAGGGAGATGCTGGCATTTGGTAGACTTTGGAGGCCAGGTAAGAATCACCCTTAATTTTTGTTGTTATTGTTCAGTTGTTTCAGCCATGCCTGTTGCTTTGTGACCCCATTTGGGGTTTTCTTGGCAGAGATGCTGGAGTGGTTTGCCATTTCCTTCTCCAGCTCATTTTATAGATGAGGAAACTGAGGCAAACAGGGTTAAGTGACTTGCCCAGGGTCATGCTGCTAGTAATTATCTGAGGCTGAATTTGAACTCTAGGTCTTGCTGACTCTAGGCCTGGCACTCTATACACCTAGCTATCCCACCCTTAGTTAATGTAAGTCAAATTAGAAGACTCACTCATGTAGAATATTACATGAAGTCACAGTCATAGAATGTTAGCACTAGAAGAAAAATAAGAAGTCAGTCACCCTGTCCAACTCTTCTCTGATAAATAAATCCTTCTACAGCATGCTCACAGAGTTGTTCACCCTCTGTAGGAAGACTATTGATGATGGGTACTTCTACTTCAATTCAGTTTAATTGGACAGTTCTGTTCACAGAGTTCTTTCTTATATTAGACTGAATCTAGCTCCCAGCAATTTCTACTCATTGGTCACAAAGTAGTTGTTGCCCTAAAAGGTACACTGAACATAACTAATCCCTCTTCCACATACAGCCTTTCCAATGTTTACATGCATCAGTCATGCCCCCTTAATTAAACTTTCTCCAGCTCCCTGGTTGCTTCACTAAATCCTTCAAGATATTTTCAAGTGCCCTTGATATCTTCATCTCCCTCCTCTGGACACGGTCCATTCTGTCAAAATTTTCCTAAAATGTGTCACCCAGAACTGATAACTACATTCCAGATAACAACAACAATAATAATAATTAGCACTCATATAAAACTTCAAAGTTTGCAAAGTACTTTATATATTTTATTTCAGATGAGAGTTTCTATTAGTCTTACATGAGAAAGTGATACATACAGTAACAAATAAGTCCCAATGGTTCTTCATCACTTCTAAAAGTCACAGAATAGCTCCGTGTACCTTCTAGCAATGTTCTCCATGTATAGTAATAACTATTTGATTGAAAAGGCAGGCAGGGATTGACTTTGGGCTGACCTTAACAAGTCAGTTTGACGGTCCTTTCTCTCCTTCACTATTCTACTGCCTGTTTTTTTTTCTCTTTCCTCTCTTTTAACAAGACAATCAAGCACAGGATTTTGTCTAGACTAGAATATACAAGAGTCTAATCTGTCTATTTATATGTACTTAATAATTCAGAGGCAAAATGAAAGCATGCCTCCATATAGAAAAAACCACCCAGCCCCCAAACTCTCTGAAAATTTTAAGACTGATCAACTAGGATATGATTACATTAATAACCAAGGGATTCCTTAGAAAAGGACTCCATGGAATAGCTTTATTCCTTATTGCACAGAAATTCTAATACATGGATTGCTAAATAACTCTACAAAGATGAACAAGGGCAGAGAAACTTAATATTGAAGCATTAGGACTCCCTATCAAGTGAAAAGCTATAAGAAATAAAGAAGAAAACCTCTCTGAAATGAAGACTTCATTTGCAAAAATTCTCTTTACTAAAATTCATTTTCTATCGCCACAGCATAAAGGCTAGTATATCTGCAGTGATAGATTAATAATGGATCCATTATTGTATTTGTTTTTCAAAATAGCCCCAAGTAATAAATTAGACAGGTATTATCACTCCCATTTTATAAATGATTAAAGTGAGGAACAGGGCCTTTCTCAAAGCATTCAGCTAGTAAAGAATAGGTCTCAAATATCAGGCTCAACATCCAGAGCTCACTTCACCATACTCCAACCAGGATGGACCGTGTCCAGAGGAGGGAGATGAAGATATCAAGGGCACTTGAAAATATCTTGAAGGATTTAGTGAAGCAACCGGGAAGCTGGAGAAAGTTTAATTAAGGGGGCATGATTGATGCATGTAAACATTGGAAAGGCTGTATGTGGAAGAGGGATTAGTTATGTTCAGTGTACCTTTTAGGGGAACAACTACTTTGTGACCAATGAGCAGAAATTGCTGGGAGCTAGATTCAGTCTAATATAAGAAAGAACTCTGTGACTGATTTTTTTGTGGCTTTATGGAATCAAGCTAATTATTTTAGAGCCACAATATATAAACATTTCCCTCTCCAAAGCCCACAAAGAACCCTGCCTTGGGTCCTAGTAGCATTGATCATGAGATATCTTCTGCTCCGTTTCTATGCGTGGTGAAAGGGAAAGTGAGAGGAACATTTTGCTTGCTGCCCACAGACCTGGAGCCAGAAAGGATCTGAGAGACCATTTAGTTCAACACCTCCCCCATTTGATAGATGAGGAAACTGAAGCCTAGAGAGAAGATGTGATTTGTGCAAGGTCACAAGCAACAAACATCAAGAACTGGGAAATGGGTGGGGCCGAGGAAGGTACCCAGAACCCACATTTCCATTTAATCTGCATCATTCACATCTTCTCTATTGCTATCTTAAGTCTAGATAGTCAGCAAAACAATAAATCAAGCCCGATTTGTACCTTTGCTGGATTCCATGGTGTAAATGTACACAATGAAAATTTAGCAATCCATTCTCTGAAGCCCATTTGAGCTGACTCCAGTGAACTCCCAATGCAGGCTCTCTGGCTTGAGAGGGCTTTTGGTACTACCCTGTATCCTGTTGTCCTGGAAATTACTTCTACTTCTCTGCCTCTGTGTCTCTGTCTCTCTCCTCCTCCTCTTTCTCCCCTTATCTCTGTCCCTTTACTCCATCTCCCCTCCCCCTTCTTTGCCTTCCCTCTCCTTCTCTCTCTTTCTCCTCTCCCTCCCTCTCCTCTTCTTCTCTCCTTTCCCCCTTCTCTTTCTTTTCCTTCCCTCTTTCTCGCCTATCTTCTCCTCCAATTCCTTCCACCTCTTTTCCTTTCTCTCTCTCTCTCTCTCTCTCTTCTCTCTCTCTCTCTCTCTCCTCTCCTCTCCTCTCCTCTCCTCTTCCCACAATCTCATAGTCATTCATAACTTTTTTCCCAAAAAAAACCAGACATTTATGAAGTATTTACATCATGCAGAGTATCCTGCAGGCCTGAGAGAGAAGCAAAGTTTCTATGATACACCACAGTCCCTGCCCTCCTGGAACTTACAGTCCTGCTGAGATATAAGATGCAAACAGATAACTATGATGTGCATGGACTGCTAAGTGCATTAAAGAAATATAAAGTGCAATGTGAGATCTGAGGGGGAAGATTGCTGCTGGCTGGAAGGAATCAGCAAAGACTTAAGACTACAGATTTAAGACTGGAAGACATTTTAGAGGCCAAGGAGTCCATGTTCCTCATATTGCAGATACCTAAATATTAAAGGACTTACCCAGGGTCACACAAATAGTAGGTGTCTGAAGTGGGGTTTGAACTCATCTTCCTGACTGTATGGCTAGAGCTTTTCACAGCATTGCTACTTCATGGAGGAAATGACATTTGGGTTGGGCTTTATGGCAGGAACTGACTGGGAAGATGAGAAGTGGAGACATTCCAGGCTCAGGGAACAGATTCAGGAGAACATGGAGCACTTTTAGAAATAGGGAACGGTACAGTTTGACTGGAAATGAGAGTGCATAGAGGGAAGCACTATAAGGATATGGAGAGAAAGTGGACCTAGAATTTCATTGGCATAGAGAATTCACAGGTGAGGAAAACTCCCTCCATCAATGTGGTTTGGTCCCTTCTCCTTGACTTTATCACCTTAAACAGTTGTCTAGAGCACTGAGAAATTTAGTGACTTGCTCAGGGTCTAATAGCCAGCATGCCAGAGGCAGAATTTGAACTCAGGTCTTCTGGCTTTAAAGCCAGCTGCCTATACCACTGTGCTTTGAGAAAAGAGCAGTAAACAAAAGTGATAACAGATATAAATTTCATTCAACTGGAAGGCAATACAGTCACTGAAGATTTTTTTAGTGACTACATTTATACAAAAGGAAAATTATTCTGGCAATGGTATAAAAGATGAATTGAAAAGAGGGAAGGAGAGGAAGTAGGAAGTACTATTAGGAAGCTATTGAAATTGTCTATGTGGGAGAAAATAAGTTCCTGTACTATAGTGGTGGTGGGGGAATTGAAAGGATGGCTCGAATGGGAGGGAGATTATAGTTACCTAATCAACAAGATTTGGTAACTGAGTGGATGCAAAAGATGAATGGGTCATTTATCAGTTCTCTTTGCCTTTCTGTTCCTTCCTTCTATTCCCTTCCTTCCTCCTTATCTCCCTTTCTTTCTCCCTTCCTTCCTTCCTTCCTTCCTTCCTTCCTTCCTTCCTTCCTTCCTTCCTTCCTTCCTTCCTTCCTTCCTTCCTTCCTCTCTCTCTCTCTCTCCTGCAATAGCTACCTATGATCACAAACCCACTTCTCATCAGCATGAGAAATTTGATCCATTCCGTTTCCAACTTGTGCAGGCTCACCATTCCTGAGGCAGCCTGGAGGGCCCCCACTCCCCAGGTATCAACATATTGGTGCTGTACTTAAGACAGACACTAAATTGGCTATCACCCTCTTGCAGCTCAGAACTACTGAGATCAAGCTATCTATTAGCCTTAACCTGCCTAACAACAAAGGTATGTTCCACCACACCTAGACTGCACTGACTCTCTAATTCTTCTCTCTCCTGTTCACATATAGAATACTACAATTCCGTCTCTACAAAAAAAAGTTCAAGGAGACTTTGAGGCCTTATGACGTAAAGGATGTTATTGAACAGTATTCTGCAGGACATCTGGATATGCTTTCCAGAATAAAGTATCTTCAGACAAGGTAAGACAAGCATGTCAGAGCAAGAAGCAGCTAAGTGTTACCAGAGCTGTTTACAAGAATTTCAAATGAATGGAAGGCCAGAAATTGCCATGAGACACAAGAAATGTAAGGAGTAAGGACAAGAGGAAACTCCCCTTGATGATTTATCATGGTTCTCTTTGCCTTTCTGCCCTTCCTTCCTTCCTTCCTCCCTCCCTGCCTCCTTCTATCCATCCTTCCTTCCCTCTCTATTGATGCTAGACTTAGTACAGACACCAGATTATTAGCCCTCCTGAATCTCAGAACTCCTGAGCTCAAGTGATCCATCACCCTCAGCCCTTCTGGTAGCAGGGACTAAAGGCATGTTTCACCACACCTGGCCTGCATTGACTCCCCTCCTGGCAGGTCTTCAATGCCAGTTATAAAATAGGTGTTACATAGAACTTGATGGCTGAAGTAAAGGACAATATGACTCTGGATTGAGGCTCAAGAGATATGGATTATAGTCTAGGCTGGATTCCTGACTTGCTCAATTAATTTAGGTGAATCACACAACCTTTCTGGGTCTTTCAGCAGCTCTTTTAGTAATGGCTAGGAATTGAACACCAAGGGGATGCCCTTTAATTGGAAAATGGCTGAACAAGCTGTATATGATTGTGATGGAATTGTGATGGTGTTCTTCTTTCTTGGCCTTTTAGAAGTGCTATTGAGGGGCAGCTAGGTGGCGCAGTGGATACAGCACCAGCCCTGAAGTCAGGATGACCTGAGTTCAAATCCGACCTCAGACCAAACACTTGACACTTACTAACTGTGTAATCCTAAGCAAGTCACTTAACCACAATTGACATAAATAAATAAAAAAAATAAAAGCTTAGAATTGCTATTGAAAGATCATGACTATATGTGAAGTTGAATGAAAGTTTCTTGAGGTCAGAGACACCTGTAGAGATGTTCACAGTGTAGATACTTAATAAACACTTGTTGTATTGGATTGGATTGGACTGTATTGGAGGGGGTCTGATTTTTTTTCATATGAGTTTGCACTAAAACCAGCCTTTAGCTACTATTCCTACAGCTTCTCAAAATATTATCTCTATGGATGGTGGTTGAGAGTCTGAAGAAAGGGAAGAGGGCACATACAGAACAGGAAGTTACCTTCTCCAATACTCATTTGGGTCTGTGCCCTATGTATTGTGGGTATTCCCTCCAACAAGGCAGATAATGATCCATTTATGCCTACCTGATCTGTGTAATTTATCTGTGTCCTCCCTTTGGTTCCCCACAGGGAGTTCATTCAAAGTCTTGAGGTTCTTCCTTGATTACCTTTTATATTAATAAGATAGCAGTTGAGGTGATATACTGATTCAACTATTCTGTAGAACAATTTGGAACTACACCCAAAAGACTATGAAACCATGCATAACCTCTGACCCTGCAGTACCACTACTAGGTCTGTATTCAAAAGGGATAAAAAGGTAAAAGGACCTATACGTACAAAAATATTTTATAGCAGCTCTTTCAGTAGTGGCTAAGAATTAAACATCAAGGGGATGTCCATCAATTGGGGAATGGCTGGACAAATTGTACATTTTTGTGATGGAACACTATTGTGCTGTAAGAAATGACAAACAAGATACTCTCAGAAAAAGCTGGAAAGACTTACATTAACTGATACAAAGTGAAATGAGCAGAACTGAGAGAATGTTGCATATAGTAACCGTAACATTGTACAACATTATACAGTATACAAGAGTAAAACTATACAACTATGAATGACTTAGCTATTCTCAACAATCCAATGATCTAAGACAATTCCAAAGTACTCAGGATGAAAAATGCTATCTGCCTCCAGAGAAAGAATTGATCGATTTTGAATGCAGATCAAGCATACTTTTCCTTTATTTTTCTTGCCTTTTTTGTCTGTTTTCTTTCACAACATGACTAAGAACCAACTCAAATATTGTGAAGCTACAATCAGGATTACACAGGATTTAGCAGCTGCAACACTAAAGGATTAGAGGTAATGACATTCCAGAAAGCAAAGGAGCTAGGACTGCAATCAAGAATCACCTGTCCAGGAAAACTACGCATAATGCTTCAAGGGAAAAAAATGGCTATTTGATGAAATAGAAGGATTTCAAGCTTTCATTAGGAGAAGACCAGAATTGAACACTGATCTCCAATATTAAGATCCAAGAGAAGCCTAATAGGTAAAAAAACAAAAGGAGAAGAAAACATAAGGGATTCAATGGAGCTGAACTGTTTACATTCTTAAAAAGTTATACAACTAATAGTACAGCTAGAAGGAATATACATATAGAGAGGATATGGATGTAAGGTAAATTTCAGGGAATGACATAAAAATAACTAAGGAATGAGAAAGAGGAGTACACTGGGTGCAGAAGGAAGGGAGAGGTAGAATGGGATAAATTATTTCACATGAAGAGGTACAAAAAACCTATTAGAGTGGAGGGAAAGATAGAAGGATGGGTGATGGGCATCACTTAAACCTTAGCCTCATAAGTATTGGCTCAAAGAGAGAATAATGGACATAATCAACTGCATATAAAAATCTATCTTACCCAGGAAAGTAGGAGGGGAGAAGATTAAGTAAAAGTGTGGGGGGGGTGAGGGGGGGTGGAGACTGACAGGAGAGAGGGCAGACCAAGGGAGCCAGTAGACAGAAGCAAAATACCATCAAGGAGGGAAAGGGTGAAAGGAGAGAAAGGAGAAACAGGAGGAAAAATAGGATGGAGGGAAATACACAGTTAGTAATCATAACTGTGAATGTGAATGGGATGAACTCTCCCATAAAACAAAAGTGGATAGCAGAAGGGAGCAAAAATCAAAATACTACAATATGTTGTTTACAAGAAACACACTAGAAGCAGAGAAATACACACAGAGTAAAGGGTAAGGGCTAGGGTGGGGAAAAAGCAGAAATAGCAATCCTAATCTTAGACAAAGCAAAAGCAAAAAACAGATCTAAGTAAAAGAGATAAGGAAGGAAACTACATCTTGCTAAAAGGTACTATAGACAATGAAGTAACATCAGTACAAACATACATGCACCAAGTTGTATAGCATCTAAATTCTTAAAGAAGTTAAATGAGTTACAGATTCATGACCAAACAAGAGATAGAGAGCATTACAAAATATAAAATCAATAATTTGATTATATTAAATTAAAAAGCTTTTGCACAAACAAAACCAGTGCAACCAAGATTAGAAGGAAAGTAGAAAGCTGGAAAACAATATTTACAGCAAATGTCTCTGATAAAGGCCTAATTTCTCAAATATGTAGAGAAGTGAGTCAAATCTATATGAACACAAGCCATTCCCCAATTAATAAATGATGAAATATGAACAGGTAATTTTCAGATGAAGAAAGCAAAGATATCTATAGGCATACAAAGAAGTCCTCTGAAACACTTTTGATTAGAGAAATGCAAATTAAAACAATTCTGAGATACCACCTCACACCTATCAGATTGGCTAATATGGCAAAAAAGGAAAATGATAAATGTTGGAGAGAATGTGGGAAAATTGAGATGCTAATGCACTGTTGGTGGAGTTGTGACCTGACCCAACCATTCTGGGTAGTAATTTGGAACTATGCCCAAAGGGCAATCAAATTATGTATACCTTTTGACCTAGCAATACTACTACTACATCTGTATCCCACAAAGATCATAAAAAAAGGAAAAGGACCTACATATGCAAAAATATTTATAGTGGCCCTTTTCATGGTGACAAAATATTGAAAATTGAGGGGATGCCTGTCAACTGGGGAATGGCTGAATAAGCTGTGGCATGTGGATGTAATGGAATACTATTGTGCAATAAGGAATGATGAAGATGAACAGGCAGATTTCAGAAAAATCTGGAAAGTCTTTTATGAACTGATTCAAAGTAAAATGAGCAGAACCAGGAAAATGCTGTACACAGTATCAACAATACTATGTGATAATCAGCTATGAATGACTCAGCTCTTCCCAGCAGCACAATGATTGATCCAAGACAAGTACAAAGGCCCCATGAAGGAAAATGCTATCTATATCCAGATAAAGAACTGATGGACTCTGAATACAGATCAAAGTATACTTTTTTTCACTTACTTTATTCTTATTCCTTTTGATCTGTTTCTTCTTTCACAACTTGACTAACATGGAAATATGTTTTATATGACAGCACATGTATAATCTTTATCAAATTGCCTACCATTTTAGGAAGAGGGGAGGAGAAGAGAGGGAAGGGAGGGATAAAAATTTAGAACTCAAAATCTTGTAAAAATGAATGCTAACCATTGTGTTCTACTCAGACTTGGGTGGAGATTCTTTTGTCTAGATAGTCCAAGGTTAGGAGTGGTGTGTCATGGCTGGGAGTGGTTTGGTATACAGATATTTTCTCTGTCCAGAGGTGAAATGATGATAGTAAGATATCAGCCTCTGTTTGAAAGGTAAACTGTGCACCCTAACCCTAAAGTGAGCTCAATTCCAAACTGTAGCTCCCATGCATAGACATTGGCATGCCACCCGCTTTGAGAGAAATAAACATGGAAACAACCTTAAAAAAAAAATAGGGAGCCAAGATGGCAGAGTAAAAGCAGTGACTTGCTTGAGCTCTCCCCCAAACTCCTCCAAATACCTGTAAAAAATGGCTCTAAACAAATTCCAAAGCAACAGAACACACAAAAAGACAATGAAACAAATTTCTAGCCCAAAACAACCTGGATGGTTGATTAGAAAGTTTGGCATGTGCGCAGAGGCAAAACAGGCCTCAGGGAACCTGGAGCAGGCCTCAGAGGACTGAATCATGGGTAGCTATGGTGGTTTCCAAACTTCTCAACCCACGAACTCCAAAGACAACTTAGAAAGAAGGTCACTAGGAAAAATCTGTGACCCTGGTGAGAGAGAAGCTCAGTCCCAGCCCCAGTCCCCATGCATGGCCCTGGGTGGCAGCTGCTTCCTGGGCTTCTGACCCATAGACTGCTGAAGAATCGAGTGGCTGATCAGAGGGGA